TCAGTCTGGTCAAACCGGTCATAACCGGTTGAAAATCGGTCAAATCGGTTTCCAGCCCTCCACTCTCCCTGCGGCGGCGCGTGTGGCGCGTGAGGCCTCCTCCGGGGGTCTAAAAATTCCGGAAAAATTTCTAAAAATTATTTTAAGCGATTTCGAGATACTTACAAAGATTGGTTCAAATTTTTGAATGGCGGAGAGCTCGATTTCAACTCTGTCGAATCATTGACTGCTCCACCTCCTCACGCGCCGCCGTCGACGGCAAACAAGGTTGACACTGGCGGACTCGAAACGACACAAGGAACACGATGGTGCAGGAGGTGTCGTAAACAGAGCAACGATCGGCGGTGAATTTAAGATTTTCCCAACGATAGAGCTAACAAAAACGTCGAGACTTTGACTGTAAATTCCCGACGTTTGGCAGCGTTTTGCTTCAATTAAATTGAAGGATTTGTTCCACGCTCGATGATGAACACAACAGTGGTTTTAAAACGACGATCAGAATTTGGACGGCGTCGGAATCGGAGTTGGAAACGGCGTATGGGAAAGGAAAATTGGGAGCATTTTGGTTCTGAAAATCAGAACCAAATGCACGCATATAATCACCCAAAACTGCCGACAGTTTTAGGGTAAATTCAAGGCTTGGTCCCTGAATTTCCTTTACTTCTAAAATGGCCTATAAACTCTTATAAATTTTGATTTAGTCACCAATAATTTACCAATTTTCACAATTAACCTCCAATTTCAATTAAATATTATTTTGTAAATATTCAGGTTGTTAAAATTCTCCCCCTCTACAAGAAATTTCGTCCTCGAAATTTACCTTATGAGAACAGTTGAGGAAACTGAGCCTCCATTGACTCCAATGTCTCCCAAGTAGCTTCTGAGAGGCCTCGGTTACTCCATTGAACTTTGACCATTGGAATACGCCTATTCCGAAGAACTCACTCATTTCTTTCTAAGATCTGGATGGGCTCCTCCTCATATGACAAATCAGGTCTCAGCTCTACCTCATCAACTTGAATGATGTGATCTGGATCTGGACGGTATCGCCTTAACATTGACACATGAAAAACATCATGAATACGACTAAGATGGGAAGGCAACTCAAGCTAATAAGCAACATGTCCAACTTTATTCAGAATACGATACGGACCAATAAATCGCGGACTCAGTTTACCCTTACGTCCAAATCTCAATACTTTCTTCCATGGAGATACCTTGAGAAAAACCTGATCTTGAACGTCAAACTGTATATCCTTCCTCCTTTGATCTGCATAAGATTTCTGCCTATCAAATGCCTCTTTCAGACAGTCATGGATCAATATGATTGTGTCCTCTGTCTCCCTCACTAACTCAGGTCCAAAGTCTTCCTATCACGCAACTCAGTCCAACAAATCGGGGTGCGACACTTACACCCATAGAGTGCTTCATAGGGTGCCATACGAATGTTGGTCTGGTAACTGTTATTATAAGCGAATTCAGCCAAAGGCAAAAAGTTCTCCCAGCTACCATGAAAATCAATTACACAACCCCGTAACATATCCTCCAGAATCTGAATTACTCTCTCAGATTGACCATCAGTTTGTGGGTGGAAGGAGGTACTATAATCCAATCTCGTACCCAAAGCCATATGTAGCGCCTTCCAAAATCTCGAAGTAAATCTCAGATCTCGATCTGAAATGATAGATAACGGAACACCATGCAATCTAACAATCTCTGAAATATACAACCTCGCCAACTTGTCCAACGTATAATTTACCCGTACAGGAATGAAGTGAGCTGACTTTGTAAGTCTGTCAACAATCACCCAAATTGAGTCCTTTTTCGAAGGAGTCATAGGTAAACCAGTAACAAAATCCATAGTAATACGCTCCCATTTCCATTCAGGAATCTTGATAGGTTGTAACAAACCTGATGGATGTTGATGTTCCGCCTTAACTTGCTGACAAGTCAAACACCTCGCCACAAAATTCGAGATGTCCTTCTTCATTCCGACCCAATGATACCTCTCTCTCAAATTCCGATACATCTTATCTCCACCGGGGTGCATAGCATATGGACTACTATGAGCCTCCGTAAGGATAGTCTGCCTCAACTCAGCATCATCCGGTACACAATACCGACCTTTGAAGCATAAAACTTCATCCTGATCAAGGGCGTAATATGAGCTTGTCCCTTGCTCTACTTGCTCAAAGATGGAAAGCAAGGAGCTATCAAGGGGTTGCTTAGCTTTGATCTCATCAACCAAGGTTGGCTTAACTTGTAATTCTACTAACAGAGTGCCATCGTCATATAAATTCATCCTGGCCATTAAAGATCTCAACTCTGTTACCGTCTTTCGACTCAAAGCATCCGCTACAATATTAGCTTTACCAGGGTGATAATCAATCACGCAATCATAATCCTTTAGAAGCTCTAGCCAGTGTCGCTATCTCAAATTAAGCTCCTTCTGGGTTAGAAGATACTTTAAACTCTTATGATCCGTGAAAATGTAACACTTCTCTCCATAAAGATAGTGTCTCCAAATCTTCAAGGCAAAAATCACTGCTGCTAACTCCAAATCATGAGTAGGATAATTACCCTCATGCGGTCGCAGCTGACGGGATGCATAAGCCACTACCTTACCTTCCTGCATTAGAACACAGCCGAGTCCTGAGTGTGACGCATCACTATACACTGTAAAATCCTTCCCGGACTCTGGTTGAATTAACACTGGAGCTTGAGTCAATACCGCCTTTAATTCCTCAGTGTTCTCCTGTTGTGCCTCACCCCAGTCAAACGACACATTCTTCCTTAACAACTTTGTCAAAGTAGAAGAAATGATCGAGAAGCCCTCAACAAAACGTCGATAATAACCAGCCAAGCCCAAGAAACTGTGGATTTCAGAGATATTCTTGGGTCGTTTCCAATTCACAATAGCCTCGATCTTGCTTGGATCAACCTGAATACCTCGCGCAGAAATAATATGCCCCAGAAACGACACTTCTTGAAGCCAAAATTCACACTTGCTTAGTTTGGCATATAGACGATGCTCTCTCAAAGTCCACAGAACGATCTTCAAATGCTCGTCATGCTCTGCCTCAGTACGAGAATAGATCAGAATATCATCAATAAAGACCACCACAAATTGATCCAAATATGGTCGGAACACCCGATTCATCAAATCCATGAAAGCTGCATGAGCATTCATCAAACCAAAAGGCATCACTAAGAATTCATAATGACCATATCTAGTGCGAATGGTCGTCTTTGCAACATCAGATCCTTTAACTTTCAATTGATAATACCCCGAACGAAGATCAATCTTAGAGAATACAGTAGCTCCTCGCAACTGATCAAATAAGTCATCAATCCTGGGTAGTGGATATTTATTCTTGACCGTCATCTGATTCAATTTCCGATAGTCAATACATAATCTTAACGACCCATCCTTCTTTTTCACGAACAGAACTAGAGCTCCCCATGGTGAAGTACTATGCCGAATAAATTCTCGATCGAATAATTCTTGCAATTGGACCTTCAACTCCTTAAGTTCTTTTAGAGCCATGCGATAAGGTGCCATAAAAATAGGTGCAGATCCCGGATAAGTCTCTATCTCAAACTCTACCTCTCTATCAGGAGGTAAACCAGGCAACTCCTCTGGAAAGACATCAGGAAACTCGCTAACTGTACGGATCTCTTCGATCGTGGACAATGAACCTTTAGTGTTCAAAATACAAGCAATGAAAGTCTCATACCCCTTCCGTATCATACGATCAATTTCCATCGCTGAAACTATATTGGAGAGATAGCCACGCCGTTCACCAATTAACACAACGGTCCGACTATCTGAAGTCTTTAGAGTAGCCCGCTTGTATTCGCAATCCAGATTTACCTTGTGTTTATTCAACCAATCCATCCCAAGAATTAGATCGAACTCCTCTAAAGAAAGTTCCATAATATCAGCGAGAAAAATTTCTCCCTGAACCTCGAGAGGACAACGCCGAAATACTTTATTCACTAATACCGCTTGTCCTACTGGACTCGTAACTGTAACAGTATTTTCAGTGTTCTCGATCAGAATCTGAAGGTTTCGAGATACGATACATAGGAGTGAGTGGAGCCATTGTCCAGTAATGCAAAGTATGGGATAGAATAAATAGTAAATGTACCTGCAATAACCTCAGGCTCATCTCTGTCATCCCGACGTCTAGTGGCATAAACCAAAGCTGGTTGTCTAGCCTCATAAACTGTTGGCCCTCTATTTTGCTGAGGTCGGGCTCTACTTTCAGTCCTGGACGCTGAACCACGAGCCTTTACTTGGCTACGATCTCTAATTGGAGTCTGTACTGTAGTCTGAGAACGTACAGGAGTCTGAGTAGCAGTTTGCTCAAACGAAGCTAGCTGAGGACAATCCCTCCGAAAATGACCACTAGATCCACACTGATAGCAAAGACTCATCTTCTTACGACACTACTGGTCACTGACTCCCACCAAGTGTAGGCATTGCCATCTAACATCGCCACAGCACCCTGATATCTCTTAGTTGAGTATAAACCCAACTGATCCATGCGTCTCTTTGTATCCTGGAGCCAATCCTCAGCTTCAGTAGGAGCTCCACCAATCTGTCCCCCAAAAGTTCTAACTCCATTGGCAATCAAAGTCTGCAAAATAGGAACCTCTGATACAACACCAGTAGCTCTGACTGCTCCCTGTATCAACTGCAGAAATTGTCTACCAAAATTCTCATCCAAAACAACTCCGGTAGACTCTGACTCAATATTGGTCGCTCCTATGATCGGTGTAGTCATGCCAATACCAGCGGCATGAGGCAGATTCGTTGGGGTCGTAGGAGCAGGATCACCTATCGGAGGTGGGGGATCTACCCGTATCTCATCAATCAAATCTGCAAATCTAGCCACTCGACCTCGTCCACGGCTAGTTCGACGACTACGTCTAGCACTCATTTTGATGGATCTCAAGTTTACTACAGAAGATAAAACTTAGGGTTAGATAAGCACTTAGAGTCTCGAACACAGTTAAAATCTTAATAACTTTGTGACATGACCTTAGTAACTTGTTTTGTAAAATATTTCAAAATCGTATTTTTAATGTGGACTCATACACAGTCCGAGGTTTAAAAACTAAAAGCTCTGATACCAATAAATGTAACCCCCCTAGACCTGACCTATGCGTTTCGACTAAGTCTAGTAGATCACAAAGACATTTTCCAAAACCGTTATCCAATCAATGTAAAACTACATTATTCATGACATGAAATTATAATAAATTATACTATTAAAACTCAACTCTTAAATATAAAACCAATCAGTAATAAATTAATTTAAAACATATCTTAAAAATCAAAACCACGATAAACTGAATAGTAATAGCAAAAGTATCATCATTATAAAATCCAATACTTTAAAATAGGTCATGTCACCAGAATAAAGTCAACTTGCAAGTTTAAAATATTACAATCAGATATACTTCAAGAGATATGTTGATCCTCCAAGTGCTCGAACCGAGGTATCTAACCAACAGTATCTGAAAGGGGAAAAACATTTTCGAAAGGTGGGCTAGGCTCAGTGTGTCCCAACATTACCATAAAATCACAATAGGTACATTAAACAAATCATAGTCCAGTAAATCTCACAAATTCGTAAAAGAGTTTAACTTTTGAAAATCATAGTTTAAACTCTTTTCTGGTACACCATCAGTAGTTCCCAAAATTATTTTCCATATAGCTTACTTTATGCACATAGCAAAAAGAAAGCCTACTTAATGATAGGCTATGAAGCTTGTATCCTTAAGCCCAAATCAATAAGTCCATATAGCTTACCCTAAGCACACAGCAAAGGAAAGCCGACCTAATGAAACATCTTGGGGCCCTCAAGAGTCACATTAGGCCCGTTTATTAGCTTGATCAGAGCTATACAATTGTAGTTCAATCCATCCAAAAATCAATATCCATATACCAGTTATCAAAGTCCATAAATCATCAACAATAAATCGGTGTACCAACAATAATAATCCATAGATTTCAATGTACAATATTTCAAAACATATAAAACCATTATGTAGTAAACATGAACACACCTCGATAATGGTTTCAGATAGTAGATCTACTGATTGCAGGTTTCACCACGCTCTGCTACAGTTTTCGAACGGGTGAATACTGGTATACGTGGTTTAACTGATCTAGAAGAGCTGGGTCGAGCTATCGAACGATCCGGAGAGTCTCTTGTACCTTCAAACAATAATAATTAATCAGCCCAAAATCTTACTTAATTGTTCAAAGCTAAAATTCTTAAGTATATAAGCATTTTTCGGGTTTGACTATCATTTTGGGGTATTTCAAGTCTGAATTTGGCCAAACGGATTACAGAATCAGAATTAGGACGTCAAAAACATAAAGTATGAATTTCGAAAATTCAGATTCTTGGTCAAAGTCAAAGTCAACCACTTTGACCATCAATTTGGAGGCCTTCAGGTTCGAATTTGACAAAACAGACTTCGGAAACGGATTCGGGACGTCGAAAACTATCAGAATAGGTATACTCGGAAAAGATTTACGGTCGTTTAAGGGTCGGTCAAAGCCATTTTAAGTTTTAGTCAAAGGAAGTCAATGGTCAACGGTCACGGTCAACGGTCGGGTCAGTCGGGTCAGGTCAGAACCGGTTGAAAACCGATCAAACTGGTTTCCAGCCCTCCACTCTCCCTGCGGCGGCGCGTGTGGCGTGTGAGGCCTCCTCCGGGGGTCTAAAAATTTCGGAAAATTTCTAAAAATTATTTTAAGCGATTTCGAGATACTTACAAAGATCGGTTCAAATTTTTAAACGGTGGAGAGCTCGATTTCAACTCGGCTGAATCTTTGACTGCTCCACCTCCTCACGCGCCACTGTCGACGGCGAACAAGGTTGACACCGGCGGACTAGAAACGACACAAGGAACACGATGGTGCAGGAGGTGTCGTAAACGGAGCAACGATCGGTGGTGAATTTAAGATTTTCCCGGCGATAGAGCTAACAAAAACGTCGAGACTTTGACTGTAAATTCCCGACGTTTGGCAGCGTTTCGCTTCAATTAAATTGAAGGATTTGTTCCACGCTCGATGATGAACACAACGGTGGTTTTAAAACGACGATCAGAATTTGGACGGCGTCAGAATCGGAGTTGGAAACGACGTATGGGAAAGGAAAATTGGGAGCATTTTGGTTCTGAAAATCAGAACCAAATGCACGCATATAATCACCCAAAACTGCCGACAATTTTAGGGTAAATTCAAGGCTTGGTCCCTTGATTTCCTTTACTTCTAAAATGGCCTATAAACTCTCATAAATTTTGATTTAGTCACCAATAATTTACCAATTTTCACAATTAACCTCCAATTTCAATTAAATATTATTTTGTAAATATTCAAGTTGTTACAAACCCCCTATGACTCTTGAACTTTCTCTCCTTCAACTCTAAACTCAAAAACGAGACATCTAATCCTCCACATACAAAACCTCTTAAGCACTAAACCGAATCCATATGGATCTTAACTACACCAACTCCGGCAAAGATACGACTCAAGCTAAAGTAAACATCTTCTTCTCTTTTCTTATATTTTGTTTTTCATTCGAAAATTAATGAAAATAAGTATATAGAAAGTAAAAAAAAATGCTCACTGTTATATTTGGTTTATTGCTTGCTTTAGAAATGGAGACTGATTGTATATAACACTCTCTTTAGAAAAGAGGAAAACACAAGGGGAGAGCCCCATTTTGTTCTTACATTTCATTTGGTTTTATAGCTGAATTTTACATAGCTTTTTCATAAAATAAAACAACTTGTTGGGTGTTTGATGCATCAGATATGCACTTATCCCTTTAGTGGTAGGAAATAAGGGATATTGGCATTGTAGGTATGGTGGGGTAAGAGAATAAAAAAATAAATGGTGCTTACAGCTGCCCTTCTTTACTCATTGTTGTGAAACGAGAATGAAGCAAAGATAATAAAGTGTCATTTTTCATCTTGGTCTCTTCTTGTCACATTGTGAACTCTTTACTAGGAATGTCAATTCTTCTCTTTATGTGAAATTCGTCGAGTCCTTGCTGCAAATGATGCCATCTTTGCTTCATTCTCTCGGTTGAATCTTCATCTTCAGTTTTTCAAGTTGCGGGTTTTTTTCTCATCGTGATCTCTCTTCCAGAAATGTTGATCCCTCAAGCAAGGTGTTGTTGATTCAAATTATTTTAAATCAAGCAAAGGAAATGTTGAGAGAATCCTGCCCGGAGGTCTTATGGATGGCCTGAAGGACTTATCATCTTGCTCGAAAGACTTATAGAAGACCCGAAGGTTTTAAGCATCATGCTCGAAAGACTTACTGTTGGCCCGAAGGATTTAAGCATCATGCTCAAAAGACTTACTGATGGCCCGAAGGACTTACTCATCAAGAAACCCTTGAAAATCAAGCTTAGTTTCTTAATTGTCATAACAGAACTCCTAAAAATTAGGCTTAGTTTTCTTTTGCAAACTCTTTGGAAATCATTAAGAAACCCATGAAAATCAAGCTTAGTTTCTAAGTTGTCAAGAAACCCCTAAAAATTAGGCTTAGCTTCCTTTTAAAAACTCATTGAAAATCATCATCAAGAAACCCCTGAAAATCAGGCTTAGTTTCTAAGTTGTCAAGGAACAACTAAAAATTAGGCTTAGCTTCCTTTTAAAAAATCATTGAAAATCTTCATTAAGAAACCCCTGAAAATCAGGCTTAGTTTCTTATAAAATCTTTTGTTTCAAGCGAAACTAACTCAAGTGAGATAAAATCTTCTGTTTGAGGGAAACTATCTCAAGTGAGATAAAATCTTCTGTTTCGAGGGAAATGATCTCAAGCGAGATAAAATCTGTTTCAAGGGAAACTATCTTAAGCGAGATAAAATCTGTTTCAAGGGAAACTATCTCAAGTGAAATAAAATTTGTTTCAAGGGAAACTATCTCAAGCGAGATAAAATCTTCTGATTCGAGGGAAACTTCTCAAGCTTTTAAAAACTCTTTGGAGATAATAATCAAGAAACCCCTTTCTAAGTTTTCAAGGAACCCCTAAAAATTAGGCTTAGCTTTCTTTTAAAAATTCATTGAAAATCATCATCAAGAAACCCCTGAAAATCAGGCTTAGTTTTTAAGTTGTCAAGGAACCCCTAAAAATTAGGCTTATCTTCCTTTTAAAAACTCTTTGAAAATCTTAAACAAGAAACCCCTGAAAATCAGTCTTAGTTTCTTATAAAATCTTTTGTTTCGAACGAAACTATCTCAAGCGAGAAAAAATCTTCTGTTTCGACTGTAACTATCTCAAGCGAGATAAAATTCATTTCCAAGGAAATTATCTTAAGTGATATAAAATTAATTTCAAGAGAAACTATCTCAAGGGAGACAAAATTTGTTTCAAGAGAAATTGTCTCAAGGGAGACAAAATTTTGTTTTGAGTAGAAATTGTCTCAAGAGAGACAAAATTTGTTTTGAGTAAAAACTGTCTCAAGAGAGACAAAATTTGTTTTGAATAAAAATTGTCTGAAGTGAGACAAAATTCATTTCAAGGGAAACGTTCTCAAAGTTTATTTTTCAAGAGAAACTGTCTCAAGGGAGACAAAATTTGTTTTGAGTAAAAATTGTCTCAAAGGAGACAAAAAATTTTTTTTTAGAGAAAAACAATCTCAAGTGAGATTAATTTTGTTTTGAGGAAAATTGTCTCTAGCGAGACAAAATTTTTTCTTAGGAAAACTATCTCATGTGAGATCAACTTTGTTCTAAATATTTCAAAATTTGGGAAAATGTCTCAAGCGAGATGGAGTTTGTTTTGAGAGAGGCGATCTCAAAGGATTATAAACTGCCCACTCCTACATGTTGAGAAAATATCTTCAGTAGATTTGATTGTTGACTTCAAGAAGTCAAATATGTGGATGGAATTGGTCTTTCATGTTGAAGACATATGGTCATTTCTAAGCTTTTATTTCCTGAAAGATTGAAATGATGTATTTATGACTGCCTAC